TTATGTCAAGTCAAACGCGGGAATGATTTCACTATATATGTCTCTTTTTAAAGATATCCCCGGCCGAAAAATTTGAATTATATATTCATTGGTAGATCAATGATTATAATTTTAATAATAAAATTCGTAAAATAGAAAAAAAAATTAATTTTAATTGCTTGCCACTGATTTATCACTGAAATTTTTTATATTATGTAATCATGTTAATTAAAAGGACACAATCAACAAAGCTTGACATGCTTGATAAATGGCTGAGTTCCTTAAACATATTGATAGAGGTTTGATCTTTGGTCATGTGTATAGAAAAAACTTTGTTGATAGAGGTAAAACTCATTTCGATGATCTCTACGCTTCAAAAAGATTAGTCTTTAGCATGTCTGCCGGAGAATACCTTGAGAAAACTAAAAAAAATGACATAATGATTGAGTTAAACATGATGAGTTTTAAGTAGATCACGTAATGCAAGACATTACCTTCTTAAGGAACATGTACATTGTGAACTAAAACCACCACGCAACTTAGAAGTTGCGTAGTGAATTTTTTTATTTTTTTGTGTCGAAACTCATCATCAAATTTTTGTTCAACGCGCATGAGATGTGCACATTCAAGTCAAACATGGGAGGGTAAGCAACTTGTACTATTTACACCCCTTTGCATGTCTTGCCATGCATGCCACATGGCAGACGTTAATTGGCCCTATGTGCAAATACGCACCCGTTCTTATGCATCTTGAACACATATAACCACGTTCACTACATTATTATGATAAATAGTTTCACAAACACATTTATGAGTTTTATTAATCTCATGTTAAAGGAGATAAGTTATTTCATGTTATAGAGACAAACTTGTAAGCTCCATCACCTGAAAAATAAAAATGAAAGAAAAAAAAAGGTGACACAGTTATCGAAGGGTGTGTAAGAGGGAAAATTATCTTATGTAGCATAAGAATAATTTTTTTTTCACATTTATACCGTAAAATGTTTTGAAGTTTATTTTAAGGGTTTTATAATTCTCATTCAACATGAAAATTAAAATCTTCCAACATACATTTCGATTTTCGTGCTGATGTGAATCCTACACATAATTTTTTCTAACATATGGATCCCATATATTTTTTGTCTCTATAATATAAGATTATAATTCTCGAGAATTATAAAATCCTTATTTTAAATGGGTCAAAAGTCCACTCCATTTAGCATTGTTGTACCAAGAAGATGCTGTTTTTTATGTTGACAAGCACTTACAAAGGTACAAAAGGGTAGTGGCCAGAAAAGAAGTGAAAACACCTCTACTTAGTTTGAATTTGAGTGACGACAAACCTTCAACTGAGGACCAATTGTGTAGAGACTAGCATAAAGCAAACTGTGACTCATGTTCTAATAAAAAAAAAGCAGCAAAAAGCGAACTGTGACTCTATCTATGAATGATTAGTCTCACTCAAGATCTTTTCAGTAAGACACAAATTATGAGTTTTAGATATTTTTATAGGGAAATATTAGTCTCCTTTTACATGCGGTAGCTTATCTTATTTTCTCTCATTTTGATTTCTGCATCTCACTTTTTTTTTTCTTTTAATGGTGGGACCCACCTAGTTTCTCTCTACAACATAAGATATCTATCTTATGTAAAAAGAGATCAATAAAACTCATTTTTATATTGATGTAAGTTATATTGTTAATCTTGATTATTTATTTCATTTATATTTAACTGTTCTAATTTACAAAGTATATGAACTGTTTGATACAAATAAATCAATAATTAAAATTTAATATAAAATTTCTTATTCTTATGCAGGAGTAAAAATAACCTGTCCATTTGTAATATTATTTGATTCGCTTAGTGGCCTATTTTGTCTTAAATTATCCAATTTCAAACGACAATATCTTTTCAACTCATTGTGCCTGAATCATCCAGATAGGACTTGACACCAAGGTAGTATTTGGTTGAAGGTTTATTTTGGGATTGATGGGAAAGTGTAAGTGGATATTGAAAAATACCATGTTTGGTTCAGATTTTTTCAAGAAATACCAGGCAAATAGGATAGATGGGAAAATGACTTTTGTGTTGATTTTTGGATGAAATTCAATGTTACAGAATACCACTTGAGATGTGGTATTTTGAGATAACTAGGGAAGTGAAAAAACAGGTGCAAAGTTTCTCCCGAACATAGATTTTGCATATTTAAATAAATTTTCCTGGTAATATTTGGGTCAACCAAACAACTTTTTTTACATTTTCCTACCAAACTCACTTTTCAACCATTTCCCTATCAATTACATTTTCCTAGTAATTAAAAACAAATTTCTCCCGAACCAAACACTACTCAAAGAAAAAGGAAGTCACAATCAGTCTTTTGAAGAAGAGAAATGCTTACACCCTCTTGGGATTTCTTCCTCCAATAAGATTTTTATCATTGAATTAGGTACATAAAATCCATGGTGTGAATTCTCGTGAATGTTTTTTTTTTCTACTTCCGAAGAATATAAAAATCTCTTAGAAGAAACACAAGGTTATTAAATTCACTGTCTTATGTGTTAAAAAAAGGTCTTAGTTTTAAAATCATAAATTTTTAAATGTTTCTTCACTTTTCTGTTTTTATTTTTTATTTTTTCAAGAAAAGCCTTCCACCGTTAGAATTGACCCTAGAAAAAGGTCTTAAGAAATCAACAGAAAGGTGACACGAAGATTAGATTGAAAAGAACATCAAAGTACAGTACGAGATTAAACTCTGATACTAAGCCTCATGTGTCCTACACCTTTATCAATTGAACAGTCTAAGGGTACATTTATGTTACTCAGTGCAGTGGCCATCAGTTTTCAGAAAAACAGTTTATCGTATACGTACTTGTTTCGTTACTAAATAATGATGTTGTCAATTCAATGGATAGTGACTACTTAGATCATGTTAGCGTTGATTCAACATAAACATATGATTGAGTACATCAAATAAATTTTTGGCTCAACAAATTGATATTTTTAAAAAATTCACCATGATTCGCATCTTAAATTGATATTTGAGTAAAAGTAATAATTTATTACTTTTGTGACGGACAATTTCATTTTATTTTTTGATATTTTTCATTTTCTACAGTTTGTTCACTTTTTTGATTAAATAATATAAAACTTATATATTCTTGAAAAAATTATCTATTCAATTTTTATTAATTAATATTATTTAAATAATATTTATTTATTAAAATCACTTTTCACATATCAGTATTTAAATATAAATCATTGTATTTTAAATTCACTTTTAATTGAAATTAATTTTGTGAAATTAAGATAATTTTAGATTATTTTTATGAATACTCACCTAAACTAGGAAGTTAGTATCTTTGGCTTAGATGGCTTCCCAATCCTAATTGGGAAAATTTTATATTTTTTATTATTCCTTTATAGTTATTTAATGCCTCAAGTCAACAGTCAAATTTATTTAAGCTCGATTCACGTAATCAATATTTTTTTAAAGCAACCTTCAGTATTTAAAATTGATTCACTTATATAATTAGTAACTAAAAAAATAGAGTTTGACCAACAGATAAAATCGATGGAATAACCTTATTAAAAAAAACCATCATACATGAATGCGTGATATAGGATACGATACAGACATTATCGGGAAGTTATAGAAAATAGTAGGACACGAATATCAAAGGTATTACCATATAAAGTATTATAATATAAAACAATGATATAAATATCTAGCTTAAATTAGAATAAATATAACATTCTTTCATAAATAATCTCTAATCATTATAAGCAAAATAAAATATTATCATTTATGTAATTAATTAGTTTGAGTATTTTTTATATTCAGGTAAAATATAACAATATAAATTAAAAGAAAAATTGTAATTGAGGAGATATGTATGATAATTTGAATAGAATATTAAAAGTACATATTATAAAAGAATGAGTATTCAAAATTATAAAAAAGATATTGGTAGCAAAGGAACTTGGTAAGTGAAAAAGAAATAGTTTCGGGTCGATCCTCCCATATTACTTTTGGAAGAGGTTTAAATATTTTCATCTTTGATCTGCTCCACACTCCGGATTAATTTCATAGCCGATTTAAAGAGTCGAAGATTGTAAGGATACCGATAGAAGCCAACTTGCCTCAAAAAGGTAATTAGAATTAATTTAACTAAAAAAAAAGAAAAAGAAGAAGAAGAAGATATGGATAGTTAATTTTAAGTAATATATATTTAAAATTAAAAAAAATTAAGAATTACATATGTTATTCTTCACGAGAGAGTACTCTAACTAAGGGATTTAATTATTTTCAAAGAAATAGATATATATATATATATATATATATATATATATATATATATATATATATATTCAAAAAATATAAATTGGAGCAAGTTAATCTCCATTATTGATACAAAAAGTTGGCCTAATTATACGATAAAAAAAAAATTAAAAGACAAAATTGTAGAAAACATTTCATTTAAAATCAAATGCTCTAACATAGCTGGTAATTTTTTAATTCCATATCATACTAATATAAAAAGTTATAAATTTAATATATAAAATATCTATACTATAGATTAAAGGTATCATACTTATATGTTAAAATATCTAGATTATAGATCAAGTACCTAATCTCTATAAATTAATAAATGCCTGGATTTTCACAAACATAATCTTGTATGTTAAACAATAGATAAAATACTAATTAAAAACATAAAAGTGCAAACCTAACAAAACGGGTAGGCTAAAACACAAGTAAAATAGTAATTTATATAATCCACCGTTTAAGATAGTTTCTTTTTCTTTCTTTTTATTCATTTTGTAAATATATGGAAAACAATGAAGTACGAAACTTCCACGAAGTTGCACTTACCTGACAAGTCTCATTATCTATTATTTATAATCATCGCCATTACAAAAATATTCAAGGTCCACCATTGCTATATATTATATAGTATTTTTTTTGTTTTCTCCATTTAATAAAACAAGTTGAGTTCTAGAATTTCTTCAACCTTTGAAAAATGGGGTCTCAAAACCAAGAACCATGGCTCTTAGAGAATGGCAATGGCAACATCAAAGGGTTGAGCAAGGAGATGAGACATGGTAGAACGGCACATAACATGTCATCATCTTCATTGCGCAAGAAATCTAACCTCAGTCTTTTGTCAAAGGTTCACTTTGTGTTCCTCAGAAATTTGCTTGTTAATTTCCAAGAGGTTATTCTTGGAACCAAGCTTTCTATTCTTTTCCCAGCCATTCCATTTGCTATCATTGGTGAATGCTATGGCTTTGCACGAGTGAGTACTCCACCTACTCTCCATTACATGCTTATAATTTATTTAATTTTCCAATTATTGTTTGCATACCCAATTTAAAATTGTCTATTTTAGTTTATTCATAAAAAAATTTCAAAATTATTTCGTAATCATCACCTCCTCAGTCTGATAGTTATGCTTATGCATGTGAGTGAGAACTTTTGGTCAAAGGCAAAAAAGGAAAAAAAAATTTCAAAATAAGGTATCTATATTTGGTGATGATTTCTGTGTGTATGGTTATTTGGAGGGAATGTTCTTTATTATTTTTTTCATAAAAATATATATTAAGAAAAATGCATGAATAATTTTTTTTATTTGTTTAGAAAAATGTAAAATTTAAAGGTTTGAGTCTTTTATCTCTTGTCATTTAGGGTTGTTATGATTTGTGATGATATGAATACTCTTCTTTTATTGAATACAGCCTTGGGTTTTTGCATTGAGCTTACTTGGGCTTACCCCACTTGCTGAACGAGTCAGCTTCCTCACAGAGTAAGGAAACCATGCATGACATTCTTTTTTGAATTTTTTTTTGTTTATAGTTAGATTGTACATTACTCATTATACAACCCTTTTTTTTTCCTTTTCAATTTTCTCCTAAATTGCTGATTCTAGTTTTATTTGCTTCTTTGGTTTTGGTGTTTCAAAATATGACAGACAGGTTGCTTATTACACAGGTCCCACAGGTGTGTATGAACCCAAAACTACACTATATCAGCTTTTGTTAAGAGGTTGTCACAATGTCAGTGTCCAATACTAGTCAGTGTTCACTTTGGACAAAAAATGAATATCAATGTATTAAAATAAAATAAAATTTGCAACCCTTGTTCATAATCTTCTTTAGCTTTTGAGACGAATTAAGCATATGATATATGTCTCCTATAGTCCTATGTGTGTCCGCAAAGGCGAAGTAAAATATTTGAAAGGGGTGAAATTGCAAGTGTAATATTTCTTACAAGTTATAACTATTTATACGGGGAAAAGTGTGTGTCATTTTAAAGGATATAAAATTATGTCATTTTAAGAAAGAGGAAGAGATAGATAAAAGGAGAGAGAGAGAGAGTTGACAAAAAAGTAAAGGTGTGAGTTCCATCTTTGTGAGAGTGAAATAACATAAGTTGTGTCATTTAAAAGGATAAATACTTTTCCCATTTATATGACCAAATGATGGTAGTTAAGTTTGTGCACGAGAGCTGAGCAGGTGTTCGATCATCCTTTGTACTATTTTTGGGAGGGATTTAAAATCTTAATTCTGGATCTGTCCCGAACAAGGGAGGATAAATGTGGTTCATCCAAATAAAAAATATAACTATTTATATGATTAAAAAACAGAGATAATACTCATAATTAAAAACTTGTATGAACTTGAAATAGGGCCACAGCTATTTATATAAATAAATGATGCTCGTAACTAAAGGTTTGTACAAACGTGAACCCCTCCCTCGCTCCATCAGTGTGTGTTCGTGGAATTGGTAAAATCATAGTGTTAGAATTAGAAATAAAGCTCTTGGAAATTGTAAGAGTACAATTTATTGTTATGTTACTAAAGCCTTTTATATTTTATGAGTCACAGTGGGAGGACTTTTGAATGCAACATGTGGGAATGCTACTGAACTCATCATAGCAATTTTTGCACTTAGTGATAACAAAATTGCTGTAGTCAAGTATTCTCTCCTTGGTTCCATCCTTTCAAACCTTCTACTGGTTCTTGGAACCTCTCTTTTCTGTGGTGGCCTTGCAAACCTTAGAAGGGAACAAAAATATGACAGGGTAAGACCCTGAAATCAATTCAAGATTGATCTATTAAGTGCATATATAGTTTTAGTTCTTTATCTTCTTTATAGTGAAAATAATGATTAGTCAAAATTGATCTATTAATTGCATATATAGTTTTAGTTCTTTATCTTTATAGTGAAAATAATGATTAGTGTTGAGTTAGGAAGCACCTACACTTCAAAAACTCTGACGTGTCGTGTCCGACACTTCCCGACACTCACTGACACTCCGACACTCCCCGACACTCCAACACGCATTATATAAATTCAAAAAAAGTCCAAAGGTTGCGTTGCCTTGAGTTTTTAGTTCCAACTATTAGATTCGTTGAATTACAATTACCATTTAATATAAATATTTAGGATATCTTTTGTTTCTTTGCAAAATTGATGAATATTTTAAGTTTAATTTTATTTTTTTGTTAAATTATTGAATATTAAATATAATATACACTACATAAATTAAAAATATTATTTGATATCAAAACGTGTCCTAACGTGTCGAAATCTAATATTTTTTAGAATTTACGTGTCGGAGTGTCGTGTCGTATCGTGTCACGTGTCCCGTGTCGGTATCGGTGCTACATAGCTGTTGAGGATTGAATGTTTTTGCAGAGACAGGCAGATATGAATTTGCTTATGCTGCTTATGGCATTTTTGTGTCACTTGCTGCCAATGCTGTTCAAATATAGTGGTGCCTCAGAAGCTGTAACTGTAGACTCATCTCTGAAGTTGTCAAGAGTTGCTAGCATTGTGATGGTGATTGCATATTTTGCTTACCTTGTCTTCCAACTGTGGACTCACAGGCAATTATTTGAAGCCCAAGATGTATGTTTTCTTTATTTATCATGAAATAATGAAGTTACTTGTGATTATCATTTGTGCCAATATCTGAATACTAACTACCATCACGCATTGCAGGAAGATAATGAAGAGGTTGAGAATGTTTCAGAAGAAGCAGTGATAGGATTCTGGAGTGGGATTGTTTGGCTTGTTGGGATGACTGTTTTCATTGCTTTGCTTTCTGAATATGTGGTGGAAACAATTGAGGTAATTGACTTCTTTTCATTTTTTGAAAGATGAAACTATTGTTTTTATCAAAGAAAAAGAACTAGACTTCCATTTTGAGTATGATAATACTGATAGTGATGAGAAAAATTTGAATATGAACAGGATGCATCAGAATCATGGGGTTTGTCTGTAAGCTTCCTCAGCATAATCTTGCTACCAATAGTTGGCAATGCAGCTGAACATGCAGGAGCAATCATATTTGCTTTCAAGAACAAGCTGGTTGGAAATTTTAATAGTATTAACAAAATTCATTACTTTTTATTTGACATAATTTGCTTGAAACTAACCTAATGATGTTTCTGCAGGACATCTCATTGGGTGTTGCTTTGGGTTCTGCAACTCAAATTAGCATGTTTGTGGTAAGAATTCACCTTGTAAAAATAAAAAATGGATGTTTCCATTTAGCTTTGTTGTTGGATTATTGAAAGAAAGCTTACACCAAGCAAATTTGATTACAATATAGGTACCCTTATGTGTGATTGTTGCTTGGATTATGGGTATCAAAATGGACCTCAACTTCAACCTGATAGAGACAGGGTCTCTTGCTTTGGCAATAATAACCACAGCCTTCACATTACAGGTATACTTACCATAATCTCAGCTAGTAAAAACACTAGATTTAGTTACATTTTGTATATATCTTGATTCAATCTTTCAATGATATCTAAGTCTTTCGTGGTGTATCTTTTATAGGATGGAACTTCACACTACATGAAAGGTCTTGTTCTCCTGCTATGCTACATTGTTATTGGGGCCTGTTTTTTTGTACAGAGAACACCCTTAGGTAAGTATAATATAATATGCAGCATTACATAAATAGTCAAAATCTATATTTATTCATCCTGAAATTATAATTCATATCTAAAATTTGGTCATCTCTTTTTCCCAGACCAAGCTGATGTTAATAACATAACACTTAAATCATCAACTGGTGCAGATTTTAGAGCTTAATAGGTAAGTTCATGTTCAGTTTACACATGCAGACATAAATCTTTAACGTGCACAATACCTCTATAGAATTAACTTGAGGGCATGTTATGATTGCAGGAAGGTATTGGTCGATTTTGGTCTCTATGAGATGAAGGGTAGCAGCACCAAAACTTCAAAATAAGATTCAATGAGACAGAAAGCTGAAGAAGTGTGCAATATCTTGCAATCTTTATGGTTGTTGTCTGTGTATATAGACCTCTTCAGAAGATTTTGTGTCCTAGATTTTCATCTCGTACATGTAAATATATGACTTGTAGCAAAATTCTCAAATAAAAATGAAAATTGCTGTTTGGAATTTGAGGTCACATGAGCAAGAATTCCTCGTGTTTGCTGAATCCTATGTTCCTTTGAGTTTGCTTAATCTCTAGTGTATATGATTCATGTGAAGCGTGTTTTGATGGTTATAACAATTTATGTCAATTCTGGCTGATTCAACAAAGTTGAAAGAACATTAGACAATGAATGAGAATAATAAGACAATTTTATGCGTATTGCACTTAATTTGGCTACTTATATGAATTACGTAACCCCCGTACTGAATCACGTAACCTCATACGAAAGGTGCTTAATAAGTCATTCGAAAGGAATTAATGTTAAAAGATTTTTTTTAAAAAAAACCAATTGATAAAAGAATAGATTTATGTTTGAAAATGTTATTTTAGAAGAAATAATTTTATTTAAATGGTATACGAAATGTTCACTTTTAAAATCAAATTAATTGAAAAATTCACTTGCACTTGAAGTGTAACACCCTGTAATATATATATCCGGTAATGTTATCGTATTAAGCTGCGCTTAATTAAAATTGCGGAATATCTTTTTCTTTTCAATCACGATGTCATTAATCATTACCAACTTGATTACTTAATCATCTTCAAAACATCGCCTGTATGTACATTGCAATAAACAGCTAACTGAAAATACCTCATTAATTAAATAACATGAATATGAGTCTCTAGTCACGGAACTGCCAAACGTAGACCGGACCATCTAACAATTTATACAACTCCAACTAAAAGTATTAACCACAAAGTGGCATGGACAAACCCCATGCTCACCCAAATAAGGCAACAAAGCCCAACATTAGTCTCAACAATAGCAACATAAGCATATAAGTGCGGAAAACATAAACAACATCCAAATCCAGTATTCATACAGGTCAGCATAAATAACAGCAATATCATCAACTAAGCTCTGGCCTCCTGCCGCCAGAGGCATCAACCCCCATATTACCTGAACCTGAAATAAGCGCCCCAAACGTGGGGTGAGATCTCTAAACAAGAAATCTCAGTAAGACAAGGGGTCCTCAAGGATCTTCCACCCCAAGCTCACTTACATGTGCAATATAAGTTCAAAAGCAGTTCATCAATATCATTTCTAAAACAGTGCAATTGTTACACGAAGGGTATCTGGCAGAGTCAGGAAACCATCAACTAGGCTGGAAGGTTATATAGCCTAATGTCACTTGCATTGAGGGACACGTGGAGTTACTGTAGAAAGAAGGTTATAATGTGTAAAGTGGAGAATAGCTGAATTGGTTACGTGGCTTGTACTTGTAATAAGCTATAACTAGGCTGGAAGGTTATATAGCCTAATGTCACTTGCATTGAGGGACACGTGGAGTTACTGTAGAAAGAAGGTTATAATGTGTAAAGTGGAGAATATCTTATTACAAGTACAAGCCACGTAACCAATTCAGCTATTCTCCACTTTACACATTATAACCTTCTTTCTACAGTAACTCCACGTGTCCCTCAATGCAAGTGACATTAGGCTATATAACCTTCCAGCCTAGTTGATGGTTTCCTGACTCTGCCAGATACCCTTCGTGTAACAGCAATGCAGCAGATAATCATGTCATGTGTGTCAATACTATTCTACTGGCTAGAGAAATGCAGGAATACGTCTATTACCCACACTAATGCAAGACGCCACTTGCACCCACCCACAATGTCACCGTCTTGTATGACGCCATATACTCTGGCTAACTGTCAAAGTGGAACAACATATACATATTAAAAGTCATTACACATAAAGCTCAACAACATTCCAAATATATCAAAGCATGTAACACAACATGAATATAAACCATTCCCCCATGGGGTATGGTGGAACCAAACAATGGCTAAACCGAGGATACGAAAGCTTACCTTGCAAGCTAACACTTCAAGCCAAGAGTCCAACCAATCCTCAAAGTCCAAACACAGCAGAATCACAATCTGTTATGGACCAATAATATATCATCAATCATACTCTACAAGCATACCGTATTAAGACTACGCCTTTCCTTTACGTTTTACGTCTTAAGGCTTCACACAAAGCCACAAGCCCTTAATCACTTGATTCTGACTTAGTTCGATTATTATAGAAGTTCAATTTCATCAATCTAGGGTCCACAAACCCCCAATAGCTTACTGTATGAACAGTACAGCTACTGTTCTTCAAAATCTCAGAATATCCGGATATTCATCGGGGACATATCCGGATAACAATATCCGGATATCATATCCGGATATCATATTCGGATATCTATATTCGGATATCAAAGGATCCCATATCCGGATATTTCGCGACAGACAACAGCTTCTGCATTCGCGAAGATATCCGTCCAAGGTTCCCTTTTTAACACTTATACACGTTAAAGCATGCATTTTTACGCATATTTAGGTTCATACTCAGATTACATACTTGTTTAACTTATAAAACATGTCAAGACATCAACTTTAACCCAATAAACTCAAGATCAAAGGTGGTAACACTTACCCAAGGTTCAACCCCCCAACAAAAGGTGCTCTTGGAGCTCACAAGACAACTCCAAGGTACTGACTTTGTAGAGCACGAAAATGGAGCAACAAAGATGAGTTCTTTCTTCACAAAGGTGACACTTTAAAGCTCAAAATGTCATCACCAAGGTTCCCACAACCCAACTCTCAAACTCAGCTCTCAAACCCAACAAAATAGGGACACCAAACTCAGAAATGATATCACTCACACCTCACAAGACCAATCCACACAAGGCAACATTGTTTTGGTAGAGAAATCAAGAGTAAAAATGGCTCCTTTGGCTCAAGAGAGTGAGGGAAGGTGAAGGTGGCAAGGCTGACTTCAAAGACTCAGAATTTTCACGTAGGAGGCAGCCAATATGGCCTAGGATCATGTGCCATTAAGCTTATATAGTCACTTAACCAATAAACACACAGTATTAGCTTTAATTGCTACGCTTAGTATTTTAATCTCAAACTCAGGATTCTTAACCTACTCAATTTTACAAGAATTATCATTTTTTTTATTTTATTTTTCGGAGTACCTTTTCGGTACGCTCTTTTCCATAGCCAGTATCAGTTTCTGGCACCAGTTCTCATTATTTTTACTTGAAACTCGTTTTACAAGTCTTATATATTATTTTAGGAATTATCATGCACTTATAATAATTTTTCGGGATACTTTTTCGGTACGCATTTATACCGACTAGCAGAACCGGTACCTGCACTTTTCGTCAGAAAAAGTGACTTTAAGCATTATTACTCACTTACTATAATTATTAGAGCCTCATAATAATTATTAGGATCAATTATGAAATTATCTCATTAAACTCAATATTAACTGATTAATTTTCTTAATTAACGGTGCGGGTTCTTATATGAAGCTTGTGTCAAATTTCTGAACCGCAATCTACAAAAATTGCACCTACTTTGACTTTTGAACATGAGTAGGAAAAAATTGGTGAATGTTGTTGAGACAGATTAACACAAACAATCGCAAAGTAAAAGGGAGAAAGACAAGTTTACCAAAAAAAAAAAAAAAACAAAGGGAGAAAGGCAAGAAAATAGAGATACAAAATTTATTTTAATTCATCCATTGTGGACTACATCTAGCAATATTAATTATATTTTTCTCACTCAAGAGAAATATAAATAAGTTTAGAAAATCCTAAATAATAATAGTTATTCATGAGTCTATATATGCCTAAACTATCAAAAAAAAATATTTAATAAAACAAAAAAAAGGTCGAGGCCCATAATAGTACTATGCTTTTGCGGTTCCGGGCACCATACCCCTGTTGGGTGGCTCCCTTGGACCCCTGTTCATTCACCGAGGAATGAGGACCCCTGCTAACTTCTCATGTTTCCCGCCAATAATAATCGTCACCACAAAATATGAATCATACCGAACAAATGTTATAAATCCTCGTACTTGAAAAGCTTCTGGTAACCCTAACAAGTTTAATTGAACATTTGTATATTACTTCACCACATTATCGAATAGCTATTTAAATGAGTTTTTTTTTTTTTTATATATATATATATTCAAATTAGAGTTTTTTAAATTACTTCATTTTTTATATGACCATTTTTTGTTAGGCTCATCCCCGTAAGGGCATGAGTTTGAATCTCGCTGGCCGTTGGAAGGATTTCTTTGGTGGGGCAATTTGTAATTCCTTCCAAAAATATTTAAAGAGATTAGTGGATCTGCCTTGACCATGGTTGGATACCAGCATTTAACTTCACCTATATTTTCTTATAAAATATATATATATATATATATATATATATATATATTAAAATTTCTCCATGGAATAATCGATTAATCCGGTTTATGAATAGGATTAGAACTATAACGACGGCAAAGCTCTCCGTGCTAAATAACTCGTTTTCATAATTTTAAAACTTCAATCAAATTATTTTCTGGGTTTTTCTCTATCGAAGATCTGGGTACGTTCATAAATTTTAAAACTTAAACCCTATTGCATTCTTGTTGAAGACAAAAATTTCACTGCTCTATTGCTCACAGATT